CCCCAAAACCCCAAAACCCCAAAACCCCAAAACCCCAAAACCCCTTTGTAGTTGATCAGAATTGAAGATTTAGTTATTTTTGAAACAATCTTTTATATCCATCCTTTTTTTGTGCCGTTCTCCCAGATGCCTCTTTTTGTATTACCTGTTGAGTTTGTATAAATGCCTTCTCCATTTTGTTTACCATTTTTCCAAGATCCGTCATATTTTTTGCCATCTGGCCAAGTATAGACACCTTGGCCGTGCTTATTTATCATCCAAGTATTCTCCTTCATACTTTTTGCCATCAGGGAATTTGAATAACCCAACTCCATTCATCTTGTTATTCTTAAACTCCCCTTCATAAGACCTGCCATCATCCCATCTATAAATTCCTTTACCATGGAGCTGATTATTTTTGACCTCTCCTGTATAATTTGATTTATCATTCATATCAAGCCTTCCGCTTCCTTCCTTGATGCCATTTACAAAATCTCCTCTATAAGTAGCGTCTGAGACCTTCTCATATCCTTTGCCGTGTAGCTTCCTGTTCTTGAAGTATCCCTTCATGCCTGTTCCTTTATTTCTGCTTCAAGATGCCATATCCTTCTGGGACTCCGTCTTTGTAAGTTCCTTGGAACACATCTTTGTTAATGAAGATGGTTCTCCCCTTGCCGGACTCTTTGTTTGCCTTCCAGAAGCCTTCGTAGAGGTTCCCTTCGTCTGAAATGGAGATACCCCTTCCTTCACGGATGTCTGTGTCTTGGATCCATTGGCCAAAGTAATAAGAGTCATCATCTAGTTTGGTCTATAAACAAAATGACACTGTGGCTTAAGGACAAAAGATATCTTACAGGGTTTCTAGTCTCTAGCTTTGATTCATCTAGATTCATATCAGTGAAATCTTTCTTTCTACAGACATATGGGTTAATTATGGAATTGCTTTCATTACATTTAGTTCAATGGAAGTTTAGACTGAGAGCTCAAATCTCGAAAAACACCTCTCTTATGATCTTTTTAGAAGTAATTTTCAGTCATTTTAGATAATATTTGCCTACAAATTTATGATCTATTATTTAACACAAAAAATGTTAACTAAGACAAAAATTGAACCAATTTTCCTTTGAATTGAGAATCCTTGTTACTAAACGTATTCCTCTGATATCGAGAAGCTAACTCATCATTTTTAGGATTTAGCAGGGTTGAATAATTCCTTGAAGTAAAACAAAGTATCAACACACAAATAATTGGAATAGGTGTTAGCCGAATAAGAAAGGATCCAAAAAGATTCTAGAACACAATAATGATGACTTTGCATAATCCAAATTGTTTATCAGATACTCTGAACATGCTACATTCGATCCTGAAAAGGACTAATCGGGCTGGAATTTTGACCAGAATAGTATAATTTTTGTCTGGTAGCTACTAAACCAGAAAAATATAATGAAGATATTCAAAAGCTAATATATCGCGTAAACAAGGCTTTTAAATTGTTTACTAGGACCATCTTACCTATACTTGAATGGACCTAAGTCTTCATAGACCCTCATTACAGGTTTAACCAAGTGATCTTGGACTTTATCCATGAACTCATCTTTGAATAAGCTTTTAGTATTGCCCTTATTTGGTTAGATTGAAAGTGTCGTCTGAGAAATCTTCTGAATCGCTTATATTCTCAGTTTCCCAGTCTTCAGGGTCACTCCATAGGTCATCTATTTGCTCATTCTTGACTTCAGTTTTGAATTGTTCTAGTTCTTCTTGAGTCATTGTTCTTCCTTTCTTTGGTCTTTTTGGCTTCTTACGCTTCTTTTGTCCACTAGGTGCCTTCATATCAATCTTTGTAATAGGCTTGTCTGTTTCGTTTCAACAACAGTTTCCCATTTTTTATTAATTATATTGATGAATAGCTGCTCTCCCTCTTGAAAGGGGTTTTGGGGTTTTGGGGTTTTGGGG